AATTTTGGGCAAATTTGGGCCCAGACAAAATATCCCATGGGAATATTGTCAAGCCTGGTTTGCAGCATCTCAGGTTTGTGCTCATCCCACCTGTCCCCATTCCCTGCTTGGCTCCCTGGATTTTGTGCCATTTCCATGTGGAGTTTTCCAGAATGAAGCACAGCAGGGCTGGTGGAATTTCACCATTTCCCTGAATTTCAAAAAGCTTTTTTTTTATTTTTCCTCCCTAAAAAAATGCAGGAGCACAGATCGTGCTGTCAGTCAGGTGTCAGAATGCTCCAGTTTTTACACTCATTTGAGGCAGCTAAAAAACGGAACAGATCTGTTCTGAGTGTGTGTCAGGAGTTCTCATCAATTATGTCTCATGTCTGATAGACGTGCACGCAATTAATAACGTGATAAAGCTGTTTTATATAGATTATCAAGCTAAAACAGGAATGAGACACAATCTGTGAGCTTGCAAGGAGAAGTTTTTCTGCAAATGAAACGATTTTCCCAGTTTCCCTCCATTAAAGAATTCAAGACTTACCCTCAAGCAGCTTACCCTGGAGTAATCCCAAGACAAAATTGAGACAAAAATGGTTTATTGGGAAGGGAAAAATGGGTGGATTCTTCCCTCTTCCCTTTTCCAGGTTGTCCATGGAGCAGAATTCCTTTGGGGATGCTCCCATCTTTTCCCCTGGGGCTCCTGGCTCGGAGTGTCCCCAGGCCAGCCTGGGAGCTTTGTGTACTCCCTGTCACCATGGCCACCCTGCCAGGGGGACCTGGGCACAGCCATGGGAGATTTCCATGGGCAAAGTCAACATGGGATACACACCCCAAGTTTGGAATTTCCACCCCAATGGCTCCAGGGAGGGCTGGGGTGGCGCTGGTGGCTGTCCCAGCTCGTGTCCCACCAGGAATGCTCCAGAGGAACGGCTCAGAGGGATGAGTGCCCTGCGCTGTGCCCAGCTTCACCTTCCTGCTCCTCTCCCCCTGGTTTTTGGGGGGCTGCCCAGCCATTTCTCTTTGCTTGCCCTTGACCTCTTCAGCTCAGAAAGTCATGGCAAACAGAGGAAGAAAACCCAGAAAATTTCAAGAGTTCAGATCTGTAAAATAAACCCAGGCAGCTTTGCAGTCTTTCCTTTGTCATTTCACTTTAGAACATCCTGGATCAACACCACTGGGGTTTTAAAGTTTATTTTGTTACTTAAATCTCAAAAACTTAAATTCTAGCAATGTGGAGTACTCAAACCCTTAACATTTTTGTGGTGGTGATCCAGAATCTGGTTCTGGTTCACTCCAGTCCGAAATAATTCATTTTACAATAATTCATTGTTCAAGTACAGGTGTCTAAATTTGCAACCTCCAGGTATGAGGTTTCTTCTGCCCTCTGACTCAGTGGTCAATGGGGTTGATGCTGCTGAATGTGACCAGGACAGTGACCAAATAAATGCAGGCTGCTTTTCCCTCAGGAGATTGTCACTGAGGATGCTTTTCCATATGGAATTCGCTCAGGCTGTCTGATTTTTATATCAATTATCTACGAACTGCAGCTGCTTACCTGGAGGAACTGCCTGCCATCCATCACCCACAAAAATCAAATTGCAGAGGGGAGATTGCCACTGGCAAGCTGCACTCGGTTTCTTTATTCCCATGTGCTCAGTCCTTTAAAACAGCACAACTGCAAAGAAAGTCCTGCAGGGGTGGCTCCTGCCAGAGTGTGTTTGGGGAGCTGTGTTTGCTCCAGCTTTGGGCTGCAGTTTCTACAGAAACTGTGCCTGAGTCTGTCCCTTCATGGCTCAAGCCTAGGCTTGCCTGCTGACCCAGGGGACACCTCATTTAATCTGGTTAAGAATGCTCCTGCTGAGCTGGGGGCCTGATTTCAGTCCCACTGAAGGCTTTGGACACATTTCCCCTGGTTTCAGCGAGCTCTGGATCAGTCCCATGGATATCCAGGCACTGATTTTTAGTGGTTTAGCTTTTTTTTTTCTGATCCTCATAAGGATTAAAACAGCATCATTTTACAAAAGGCACAAATACCTCCTCATTTATCTCCTGCCTCCTCTCAGTCAGAACACTTGGCTGTCCATCCTGGGTTTTGCTAAATCTGCTGGGATGAAAACAGTTTCTGTTTGGATGCAGCTGGGAATGAGTGGGAGCACAATTTGTTGGCTGCTGTTTAATGGATCTCTCTCTCCTTGGCATGGGCTGTGCCAGTTTTGGTTCAGACATTTTCCTCCTCAGCAGTTATTCCCCAAACAGGGCACCCAGGGCTGTGTTTTCCTCCAGTCAGTGACAACTGACAGCGCTGGGAAGGATTCAAGCTTGATGAATCTCCCTAATTAAAGGAGCCAGTTTTTCATGTCCCTGCAGTGGGGTGCCAGAATCACCCTCTGCCGTTCTGCTTTCTGTCACATTAACCGGAAAAAATGCTTAAACTCCTGCATGACATTAAAAATACCCAGTTAAAAAGTTCTCAGAACTTCTGTATCAACCACAATTTGAATAATCAGAGCCAAATGGGTGAATTGCTGGGAACTTTTGCCTAGATTTTCCCGTGTTTGCTGTTGCAAATGTGTAGAATTTGACCTTCTGCCTCTCACCATGCAAGAAATATCACCTCACTGGAGGGCTGGTTTCTCAGGTGAGGGCTTTGTTTGCTGCTCACCTGCAGTTTCTGTGTTAGCTACGGGAACAAGGAACCCAACAAGGAGGTGGAGGAGGGATCCACGCTTCCCTCTGATGTCCCTTGTGGATTCCAGCCCTTCCTTCCTTTGTCACAGAATTTCCCCACTCCCAGGGCCTGCCTGGACTTGCTGGATTAAGCAAAAAAACACCCCTCAAAACCCCGTCCTGTGTCTCTGTCTGACCCAAACCACCCTGGAATTTGGGACAGGACGGTCCCTGGAGAATTCCTGAGGCTGAAATGTGGCAGGGTCAGAAATGATGATCAAATTACCCAGCCCAGGGCAGGGGATGGAGTCCCCGCCGTGCCTGCTGCTGTTTTGCAGTGGGAATTCTGCTTTAGCTTGGGGAGCTCAAAAATAAAAGGAAATCAAAGTTGAGAGGAAGGGGTCTTGTCTTTTATTAGGTTACAATCTGATACTGAGGAAAAATTACACAAAATCAAAGGAGTCAGACTTAATATCCAGACTTTGGTCAGGAATTCAACATCTTCCCTAGAGGAATCCAAATCTGTGTGTCTGGGATTGGCCAGGAAACCCAGAGTGGACTAAATTCACTGAGAAGAACTTAAGGAATTATAATTATGTGCATTATCCATTGTTTTTAAATGGCAAATCTTGCTCTTTGATATCTCCCTGGACACCAATTTTGCCAGCTCAGTTAAAAACCCACAGATCTGTGGTGGCTGCTCTGAGTTTTTTGGTACCACCCACTTCTTCTGCAGTTCATCCTCACTGCAGTAAAATCAATGTGATCACAACTTTAAAGTCACTGGAAAACTTTAATTTTGGGTTTTTTTTTCTCTTGACATGTCATCATGGAACAGATTTTAAAAACATAGAAAAACTGACGTGACTGCAGTGTTTGCAAGGGAATCCACTCAGCTCAGAAAATGACATTTTTAAAGGAAGTTTAATCTCTAAAATAAAACTCAGGCCTCAGGCATGAAGAGCCAGCTTGGCTGTCCAGGAATGCTCCAGAGCTAATTCTGGACTCAGACAGAGTCAGAATCTTCACAGACTGCACAGACAGATGCCAGAAAACGTTGGGTGGAAATTCCTGCCAGCAGCGGTTTCCTGTTGCCCTCCAGCATTCCCCAAAATTCCCAGAGCAGGCGGCCCCTGCCTCCTTTTCTCTGTGAAAAAGGAAGGAATGACTCAGGGTTTTGCAGGGAACAAAATCCTGGTGTGTCATCCCAGCAGGGTGGTGAGGGAACCCTTGTGGTCACAGCGCTGAGGGTTCCATGTCAGAGGGAAAAAAACAAAACTTTTTTGGTTTTTCTGAGGATTCCCTGCTCTGTCTCAGACTCTGATTTCTGTTTCTTTTGTGTGGTCATGGAAAGGGAAAGGTCTCCACTTACTGAGGTGTTTTGATATGTGAGAAAAGGAAAATGGGGCTGGTTTGTGGTTTATTCTCATTCCTTAAAAGCAGAATTTCTACTGAAAGTCTCAGTCTTCTATTCCTTTTTATTTTTTATTTTTTTCTCTGATGCAGAGAGAAATTAAAGAGTGAGGAAGGAGCTGTGTGATTGGAGAGAAACAAAATCCAGAAATAGGCAGAAATTTGTGGTTTAGGGAGAAAATTTGTGCCTTCAGGCTGTGTATTTCTCATCCCCTGCCTGGTATCACCCCGGGCTGAGATGTGAGCCCTGGAACTGTGGGGCTGCACCATCCCCAACCCCAGTAAAACCAGTTTGGAACACTCAGCTCCTTTTGTTCTCTTGGCTTGGCACTTCCTGGGACCTGACACTGGAGACACAACTTCCAGAGGCAGCAAAAGGGGAATAAAAAACTCAACTAAAAAAGGAAACAATCAGCTGTTCTCTGTGCTCTGAGAATTACAACTTGGGGTTTTGAACCAGGAGCACAACATTTGAGCAACTGAGACATTTTCTGAGTTTTAAACACCTGAAAACCTATTTAAATCTATGCTGATAAGGTGAATGAGGAAGATCAGTGATGTGATAGATCCAGAATCAAGCAGTTTTCTAAAGAAGGAATGCCAAATGGGGAAGTTTCACATGGAAAATAATCAGGTTAATCATGCTAGAAGCAGTCCAGCACAATTCTAATCATTAATTAATAAACCTGGTGCTGTTTAGCTTGTGGTGAATATTAAATATTCCACGGGGATTTATGGGGTAGACTGATGGACACAACAGAATTCAGAATGGAATCAATTAAATCACCCTAAAAGAAGGATCTGATGTTGGAATTAAGCCAAGGGAATATTTTTGGGACAGGTTAATTATTCTAACACACACCTGCAGCTCCTGCACACCTGAATATTCTTACATTCCTCAGCGCCACATCATTCCCGTTCTATAAAAAGCCTGACCAAACTCCACCAGGGAAAGCAGGAGGGATCCTTTGGGTGTTGGGGTAAATGATACAGGGTAAATGTGTGCACGATACAGAGCCTTATAGTATTTTATGTGCCTTTTTTTAGTGGCTCTTTAAGCTGTTTGTGAAGTTTATCTCAAGTTTTTACTGTCTCTACTGTGAAAAGGTGATTTTTTTTTTGGTCTTTTTTTGACATAAAAAGCTGTATATTTGTAAGGTCTGCTGCTTGTAATACATGTGATAAATAACTATTATATTTTAAACTTGCTTTTTTAAAATATTCTCTCTTAACTTTCTTAGTGCAGGTGCCTTCTAGTAATGCATTAAACTGGTTTTAATACCCCAAACTAAATTTGATTTGCTCTTTGGCAGTCAGGGTTATCCAGGCTCTGTCTGTCCTGGCTTGTGCAGGTTTTGTAGCATCAATTCTTGGAACCTGATAGTGCCTTAATGTTATTAAATCTCTCTGGTGTGGTGTTCCATCCCTGCTCCAGCAGCTCGAGCACCTCCTGTGCTACAATTTAAGATGAGAGATGAAATTGCTGCCACGGTTTTCTTCATCACAAAGCTGGTGAAGAAGGAAGAAAAGCTGAGCAAGCATGAAATTGATAAGTTTGCAGCGCAGCTGACCACGGTCCTGTTTGAAAAGTACAGAAATCACTGGTACCTGGACAATCCATCCCGAGGCCAAGCCTTCAGGTGAGAGGGGCTCAGGAGAAGAACGTGGAGCCTTGGGTTGACATTCAAGAAGCAGCTCCTGGAGGCCTTAAAGTGAAATAAATAATACAAATGGAGCCACCAGGATACCCCTTCAGCTTGAAGGAAGAATTATTAGTTGGTGAAAAGTAATTTATTTTTTTTTTTACCTGTAAATGTGTGATTAGAGAGGTGGAAGTCTTAAGATGAGTGTCTCAATTAGCCTCTGACTCCCAGGATGCAGAATTCAGGTGGTCTTAAAGTGACTTTTGGGATGGCTCTGCTTTAAACAGTTAAAGCAGTAACTTGCCTCATCAGCTATTGATGAGGATTAAAAGCAGAGTCCTGTTTGAGCTGATAAATCAGCTCGTGAGGCTGAGGCGCTGCTGGGGGCTCTAAGTGAGAACCTGCACCTTAAAAGTGCAGGGGCAATGAGCAGAGATTTGGGCTGTGCTCTGCACAAGCAGAGCCTGCAAAGCTGCAGTGAAACCCCAACTCCAGCTGCACTTTGCTGCTCCCCCAGGTGTATCAGGATCAACAAACAACAGGCACGGGATCCCCTGCTGGAACAGGCTTGTGTGGAGAGCGACGTGGACTTCAGCCTGCTGGGCTTGCCCAAGGAGATGACGCTGTGGGTGGATCCCTTCGAGGTGTGCTGCAGGTGAGCTCAGAGCCTGGAACAGCAGCTGCTGGCTGCTCTACCAGCCTAAACCTGCTGCCAACCTTCACACCCTGGGTTTGGCAGCTTTTGGGGTGCCCAGAGCAGCAGCACCCACCCACAGCCATTGCAGGTACGGAGAGAGGAACCGGCCCTTCACCGTGGCACGCTTTGATGGGGAGGAGAACCCTGAGCTGCCCCAGCAGATCAGCCTGGCCGTGGGCAGGGCGGCCCTGGACTATCAGTCGGGCAGCTCCTCAGATGAGGAGAGCTTCAGCAAGCAGCCCAAAGCCATCCCCACTGTCAGCAACCCCAACAGTGTCTACCAGGTGAGGCTCTGGGGGCCCTTCTCGCTCCAAAATCCCACAAAAGAGGCTCTGGCAGGTGGGGGTCAGGCTGTTCCCCCAGTGACAGGAGGAGAGGAAACAGCCTCAAGCTGCTCCAGAGGAGGTTCAGGTTTGATCTCTTCCCTGGAAGAGTTTCCCAGCCCTGGCACATGTCCTCACTGTTCCATGGAAGTGTGTACAGCCTGTTCTTAAACACCAAACTTTCCCATGTTCTGTGAATCAAAAGCTAAACCCATTTCTTCCTGATTGTCCCCATACTACTCCATTTGTTTTAACACCAGTAACTGTTTGAAGACCCCAGCCATTGTTTCCACAGTGACCACCCCTGACAGAGTCACGGTCCCAGGAGGGTTTAAAAGATTGGCACTTGGGTACATGGCTTAGGGAACAGCTGGATTTGTTCTTAAAAGCTTTTTCCCCACCCTCAGCGATGCTGTGGCTGGGATGGAGCTTTGGGAGGAGGGAGCAGCAGCAGCTTCTTTCCTTGGCACATTTTAACGTTGTTTCCCTTTTTGCTGCTCAGTTTGGTGATTTCTACAAGGCTGCCCCGCAGGCCTGGTGGCTGTACCTGCACAGGAGGCCCCATGTGGCTGAGGGATTCCACTTTGGCCAGCACAGGGCCTCCAGGACCTACAGGCCCACGGCTGCTTTCGCTGGCCCACGTGTGGACAGGTACCACTGGGTCAACAACAAGAGGTAGAGCCAAGGTTCCTCCAGGATCTTGGAGCCCCAATTTTGTGATGGGGTGAAGGCTGGCACCGCAAAACCTCATAAAAACAGCACTTCCTGTCCAATCCCTGTCTCTGACTGTTATTTATGGATATTTTTTGGGGGGGGTTTTAGCTGAGATTAAGTGTTTTTAATTGATGTTAACATAAGATTGAAGATGTATTGTGAGATTCTTCTTGTAAGTTAAAAAGGAAATGCATAAATCAATAAATATGCTATGATTTTTTATCAAAGCTAGCTGCTGGTGATGCCTTGAAGGGTATTCAGGAGCTTCTTGGTGGGAACACCAGCACATAAAGGAAGATAAAAACACCCCCCAAGATGCTTTGAAAGACACTTTGCTTCCTTCTGGCAAAGGTGGAAGGAGCCAAGACCTAAATATCACCAGCAGAAATGTCTGCAGTGTTTAGTGACTCACAAAAATATTTAAACTGTGCTGTGCCCCCATGAGTTTGGTACTGATGGGGGGGAAAAAAAAGAGTTTTGAGTGCCTTTGTTCTTCCCCCACTTGCTTTTTATCGACACTGGAGGCTGGGCTGAGTTTCATTGATGGGGAAATATTGACTATTTCATGTTTTGGGGTTTGACTCTGGAGTTGGGGAGGAGGAAAGGCTGATTCCCCAGGTTTAAGAGCAGGAAGGGTCTTGGACAGTGCATTCCTGGGTGGGTGGCAGCACAGAGCTGAAATAAAGTGACTTAGAAGTTGCTTCAATGGTGGAAAATATTTCTTGCACTTCAAGTGGAATTGCACGGATATAATTAACCCAAGTAACCGTATCTGCAGTTTTCGCTGTGTCATAAAATCATAAAACTGCAACTCTCAGCTGCAGAGGCCTCAGAACACCTCCTGGAATGATGCATTGGTTTAAAGAATAATTTATTTAACACTAGGAATTGAGTGATTCTGCATTCTGTTTCAGTTCCTGGAAACTGAGTCTGGGCTTTTGCAGCAATATTTCTTCTCAGCTCTTGGATGTGGCCAGAAATGTCAGTTCCTCCAGCCAAAGTCTTGTCACTTAAATTACTGCTCTACTTTCCCTCTTGATTTAATGAGCCTTTGGGATGGAGAGGAAAAATACACTGGAATTAAAGCAAAAACAGAGGATTTACTTTGGATTGAAGCCTAATGCCCAGAGCAGAGGGGCAGGAACCAAACCACAAAGTTCTGAGCATCACAACTTTGTGCCCTGGGCTATTTCCTCTTCTAATGCATTTATTTGTTTTACCAAACTCTCCTTCTCCAAACTGGTTATTTCAAGGTAGTAAGAGAGCAGATCTTCATTGCCTTTACTGCTTAAAAACTGCTCTTCATCCTCCATGATCTGCAGCAGCTCCTCAGTTAATGCATCCACTTTATCCTCCAGTGCTGAAGGGAACAAGGAATTGACAGCTTCCCCTTCAAGGCTAAAAAGAGGGAAATGTTGAAATTGAGAGAGAAGAAATGCCATTTCATTTAATAGAGTTAAAAGTTTACCTTCACAGGAGCAAGCCAGAAAAAGTTCACTGTACAAGGTAGTGAAATAATCAATTTAAATAGTAAGTAGAAGATAATGCTCACTGTGCCCTCTGTCGGAGGCTGTCCCTTCCACTGCTGCTCAGGGGATGAAGGAAATTCTCTTTTTTCTTCATCAGCCACTTGTTGTTGAGTGATTCCTCAGATTTCACACGGAGCAAGAGGTTCTTTGTAAACACAGAAGTGGAGAGAACAGATAAATGTTAATTATAAAAGCCTTTTTGTAGATTTTTAAAGTATATTTTTATGATATTGCTGTTTATGCTGACCCTAATGGTTTACATGAAATTTAATTTATTTTAACCTTCCTGCTTAAGCAGAGTGATCTGGAACCAGCTGGGTTTTATAAATTATTTAGTTGCCAAACTAAAAAAAATTAGGGATAGTGGATAATTTCAGCCAGGTCTGGTTCTATTTTGTTCTTGTTACCTTCTCAAAGGCTTCCATGTCTGTTTGACTTTTCACTCTCACTTCAAAAAGTTGGGAGATGAGGTTTATTTCCTCTGTGGAGAATGGCTCCTCCTTGAGCAGCATCTGCTTTATCCCCTGGGATTTATCCCCCTGGGGAGCTGCTGAGAGCTGCAGCCTGAGGGAGAACATCTCACTGAGACAGGCCTTCAGAGCCTAGAGAAATCAAAAAATAATCAACAATAAAAAAACTTTATGAATGGTTTTGAGAACCTGCATCACATCACGGGGTTGGGGGGGGGGAAATTCCAATTCCTGCTTTAATTCCCAATGAATTTCTCTGTGTTCTGAGCCAGAACTGTGATGATAAGTGTTTTTCTCTTGGGTTTTCCCCTTTACTGCCCAGGTGGGGTTAGGGTGGAGTTGCCTTTTTATTTTCTCAGTTCTGGCCAGCATTAACCCTTCACTTTTAAAAGAAGGAATTTTAACAGAAATGAGTTGAATGTGATTCTCTTGAGAAAATCCTGCTGTACCTGGTGGAAAAGGCTCAGGAAGAGGGGGTTGGTGTCGTGGCTGAGGTCCCCAGCAGTGATGTGAGCCAAGCAGTGCACCAGGACCAGCAGGAAACCTCCCCCAGAGCCCAGGCAATCCCTCAGGATGAAGAGTTTCTTCTTGGAATTCTGGCAAAAAAAAGGAAAATCCCCAGCTGGGACAGCAGGAATTGGCTCAGCAGATGGAAATCTTCCAGTGGTTTATCTCAATTTTAGGTGAGTGTGAGGATTCAAATCAGTTCTGGGGAATATCCACATGCACAAGACTCTGTTCAATAATCTGTGAATTTAAAGCATTCCTGTCCTCTCCAGGAAGGTTTGTATTTAAAAAACTTAGAAAAAGTAAGACCAAATGGCCTGATTTTATAATTTAATTACAGCAGTTTGTAATTTAAATATGGTAAGAAAAAGCCACTTATTCCTGTGAAGCTGACCTGGGGAGAATTTGGTAAAGATGAAAAGTGGTAAAACTTGGATGTGAGAAACTGGAAAACCAGAGCTTATTTATTAAATGTGCTTTGGGTATGACCCTCTCATTAAACATGAATTTAAACATTGCTGTCTTAGGTTTGTGCTCAGATATACCTGGAGGTTATTAACATTTGATCATTTCTTATATTTTTTTCCCTAGAAAGTATCTAACATCCAACTATTGAAGAAAATATTTAATGCTTTTCATTCTGCTTCCCAGTGCTGGAACTTGACGGATAGAACAAAATTGCACGGATGTGGAGGGGACAAACCTGATAAAAGAAAGAATTCCTGAAGGCATTGCCTGGGGCATGGCTCTGGGGGAGGCTGGAGGCAACAGCCAGGGTGATTCCTGGAGCCTGCAGAGAGAAGGGAAAACGCTCCTGTAAGAACTTGGTGCAAGTCAGGGATGAACCAGATCTAAGCTCATTTCTTACTTGAATGTGAAACGTGAGGAATTTTAGGATGGAGAGGCCGTACTGGAACACCACAAACTCCCTGGGAGAAAGGGCTGCAGGGTCCACTGCTCTCAACTCTCCTTCCTGAGCAGTAATTCCTGCTGCAAAAACAGAATTAATTCGATTAATTCATCTCTATTTGCTTTTTTTATTTGTCCAAGAGGTAACACTGCAATACCAGTGGATAAAACACTGCATTTCTCGTCTTTATTTTAATATTTTCCAAAGCAAAATGAATCCCTGTTGATGCATTGTGAATTATTGTACGGATAATGAAGGAAATGGCCAAAATTTTACTTTTCCTAGAGAAACTCCTCATAATCAAGGTCTGGAAAAGTGGAATTAGAGCTGGTCAGCACCAAATTCAGGTGATTTGGATGCTGAGTCTTTCTCCTTCAGTGATAGGGAGAATAAATGAGGTGTTTGTGTAGGGCTCTGTCCCAGCCCAGCTGCTAGCACATGAATTTGGAGCTCATCGTTCACCTCCTTCAGGAGGCTGAGGAGAAAAGAGGGGATTTCACTCTTCATTTCCTGCCCTGGGTACAGAAACACAGCAAAGTTGTTTTCCTAAACAATCCATTTCTCACCGTGGAGCAAACGTGGGGAATTTTGTAGGGAAGGTGGGAACAGTGGCAGGAAAAAGAAGGAAAAGTCAAAGTTATTTTAATTTTTATGGGTTTTTTTACCCTGCAGGGGAGGTGCTGTGAGCTGGGGGTTCAGCAGCGTGACCCTGGATGCCATCAGGTGCTCTGCCTGCTTCAGCACCTTGGTACCTGGGAGAAGAGAAAATTCCAGGTGTTTTCTGGCATAATTCCAGAGGGATTTATTGGAATGGAATGGGGAATGGAATAGGGAATGGAGAATAGAATAGCAAATAGAATAGGGAATGGAATAGGGAATGGTATATGGAATCTAGAATAGAATAAAATATATGGTATATAATATTATAAAATTCCTTTTTCCACTAGCCAGTTTTGACTCTCCTGCACAGCATCCAGGCCTTGTTTAAGAACGAGCTGTTAAGATTAAAAGCTGTGATTTTTGTACTAAATATCTAATTTTTGGAAGAGGTTTAACAACGTAGAAATGTGTTGGAATCTCTCCCCTGCTCATTTCCATCAGGGACCCCCAGGTAATCAATACCAAAAACTCATCCCAGCTCACAGAAATTCCTTGGCTTACTCTTAGTGAGGAACAGGAGGAGCTGATCCTGTGCCCTGGGATGTGTCCCTGGAGCCTGGGAATTCTGGCTGCTGTGGGAGGAGGATTTGCTGTCCTGATGCATTTTCCCTTTTTTATCTCCCAATCTCAATTGCTGCCGATCCAGCTGGAAATCCTTTCCTAGGGAAGATTTTCTCTCAGAACCATCCTTCATCAAACTCTGCAAGGAAAAGGAAGGGATGAAGTGCCTGGAAAAAGCTGTGGAATTTCTCAGGCTCTCTGAGGATGAGTTTCTGTGGTAGATAAGGCAGGTCCAGACCTCACAGTCAGTAAAAAAAACCCTCAAAACCCCCTAAAATCACCATTTTGTGTGTAACCTCCTTTAGAAGGAAGGTTCTTCTGCTGTGCCTTTCCAATTTCCTCAAGTATTGCATTCCTGGTCTCTGCTTTCAGCCATTTTATCTATATCTATATCTATATCTATATCTATATCTATATCTATATCTATATCTATATCTATATCTATATCTATATCTATATCTATATCTATATCTATATCTATATCTATATCTATATCTATATCTATATCTATATCTATATCTATATATTCCAATATATAATATTATATATCTTAGAAGTATAATATTCCAATTTAATCATATATATATTAGAAGCATAATATTATATATAATATATATAAAAAGTATAATAGTCCTATATAATAGTAATATATATATATATATATATATATATATATATTCACATTTAAAATGTGAATTTCATCATTCAGGACAGCTGCAGTCATGCTCTTATTAACATTATACTATTAATTTCATGTCCTATGCATATGCTGTATATTGAATTAAAAAAACATTTGGGATTTGCTCTTTTCTAACCTGAAATGGATCAAAACTACTCGAAATATTTTCAGTTTTTTTCTTTTCCAGGAAGTGCTTCAGGTGTTCCTTCAGCTTGCTGATTTTCTGCTCTCTGAATTTTTTCACTCCATTGGTTATGATGTTTGCATCATTCACAAACTGTAAATGAAAAAAAAATCCAAAAAAGATCCTGTTATTGTTTTGGGAATTTTGATACTCAGAGAACAAATCCCTTTCCACAGTGAGAACAGCAACTATTTATTATTTTCTGAATAAGAGTAGAAAATAATATATTTTGAGTTTTACCTTCTGGTTACAGCCTTTTAAACTTCTGATTATTTCCTTAAAGTGAGTTTCTCTCAGCTGTAATGACCTTACAGCTTGCATAAATTCCAGCACTAAAAACAAATATTCGGTGTTGTCCTCCAGGAGGTGCAAAATGTCCCTGCTGGCATCATCCACTGATAAATCCTGAAAGGTAAATTGAATTATCACCTGGAATATCGAAATCTCCTTTGGTTAATTCAATTTCTACACAATATGCTGAGGACAGATTTAAAACCCGGAGTTTTGAAAATGCAGAAGATTTTTTAAAAAAACAGTGGAAATTTGGTAAAAGTATCTTGCAATTTTTTATTTTTTTTTGTGTATAAACACCCAAATAACAAACCCACAACTGCTGACAATAAATTTAGGATTCTTGTAGGAGCCTTACATAAATTTATGTTGAAAGTGGATTTTTTTAGTAGAAAATCTCAGGATGGTTTCAATAATTTTTGCCATTAAAAAGCAGTATCATTTAATATAATAATATCTATAATAAAATATAAATTAATTATAATTATTACACAATATTATATATAATATATAAAATAATATAATCGTATAATATAAATATATAAATATTTATAAATAAATATATAAATATATAATATAAATAATAATATATAATAGAAAATATAATAATATATCACATATAATTATATAATATACATATACTATATATCTATATATAATATAGATAACATATTTTATATAGATTATATATTATATATAGTATAGCTAAAATATATAATAGATATTATTATATACTATATAATTATTATTAATTATAAATGATATAAATATAATAATATATAATATATAGTAATTTAATTTAATTCTGAACTTAGCTTCATTTCTAGACACATTTCTCTAAACAGACACAATTCCTGAGTGTTTGTAAATCTTTGCAGCAGCACAGTCCAGGTTCTAAACCAAACTTGGAGAATTTTAAAGCAAAAATAAAAAGAGAATTTTACTTCCAAGAGGTGTTCCAGGCCTGTGCCCTCCTTTAGGGATTTCAGGGCAGCGTTCCTGAGCCTGTGACAATCCTGGAGCAAAGTCACCCTGTGCCTGAGCTGCCTCTGTGAGAGGAGGGAATAAACCACAAGATCTCCAAATTTCTGTCCTTTGGTCTCCTGGATCACTTTTGTTTCTTTGGCTTTCAGCTGGGGAGAAAACAAAGATTTACTGGCTTGAGGAATTGTGGAAATGTTACAATTTACATTGGTAAATCAATTTACAAGTTACAAATCCAGAGGGGATGAAAATAAACCACCATGAAAATAATGGAATCAGCTTCCAAAAAGACTTTGAAAGTTTTTCTGTGGACAGCACAATTGAAATAATTGTGAATCCCATCAAATATTCCCTAAATAACAAAGGCAGGGGTTTTTACTGAGCTCCCAACCTCTGTGTGGCCCTTCAGAAACCCCAATCCCTCTGTTTTAGCTGTGGTACCTTTTCCTCTGTCTGGCTTTGAAGCTCCAGCCTGAACTGTGCCTGCATTTTCCTCAGCTCAGCCTCAGCCTCTGCGTTTAACCCCTTCAGCAAATTCCCCTCGCGATGGTGCTCCTGGAGGAAATCCACTGCTCTGGCTGCTTGCTGCTGCTCTCTGCTCTCAGCAACCTCTCGGGCCACTTCTTCACCTGCATTTTGGCAGCTGAACCTGCTCAGGATGCTGCTCACACCTTCTGGGCAAGCCCTGGCCTGGAGCAGGTAAACATAGTGAGAAAATATTTAATTTTTCATAGGAATTACCTGTTTTTATCCAGCACTGGGTGTAATGATGGGTTTGGAGAGAGGGGTTCTGCATCACAGGTATCTGTAGATTTTTGGATTATCCATTTTGAGTTTTGTGAGGTGCCTTGAGGATCAAGCAGGCAGTGGGGAGGCACAAAAATCACAAAATCCTCTACCTGGAGGTGGCTGTAGAGATCCAGGACTCTGTACAGACACTTGTGCTGCAGAGCTTCCAGCTTTACAATCTTCATCCCTGAGACCTGGAGCCTCTGGGCCACTGAGTCTGGGGAGGGCTCAACATTCCAGGGATGTTTCTGTTAAAAGGATTTTAAAAAGTGGGATTTTCCACACCAACCAAGAGCTCTGTGGGCAGCAGAGCAGGTCTATTTTCCAGGGCAGACCTGGAACACTGGAATTTCTGGTCATGCTGAAGGTGGTTTGATAATTGTAGAATGGGGCTGTGTATTTGTGCCATCCACTCCTGCCAGGTGACAAAAACCCCCATGAAATGCCTCAAACTCACCTGCTGCTCTCTGAACTCACAACTTGGGCTCTGCAAACCAAGCAGACAAAAGGACAACTGATGGGGAAGCTCTTCCAGGAAATGTTGGGGCTGTCTGGGCACTGCCAGCTCAGGGCTGAGGCTGCAATGTTTGAATTCATCCAGGTGTCGCTGGAGTAGGGCTTGTCCAGCCTGGCCGTGGTGTTCTGAGAGCTCTTCCAGGAGTGAATCCAGCGTGCCAGCCCTGTTCTCCAGCCCCTGAAATTATGGACATCCCACCTGCATGGTCAGGAGCGCCAGGTGAAGGAGAATTGAGCCTGAGGTGTAAAATACTCTGGCAAAAATTAAAAATCCTTGCTCCTTTGAGCACCAGCAGTGGGATTTTAAAAATCCTGGTTTGTTTAAGTTCCATCTTAAATACACAGGAGTTACTGAAAATGAGGCCACTGCTTCTTGTGCCTTAATATTGAGAGGAAAACTGAATTAGGTTCTGTTTTACTTTGCCATAAGCAGGTTTGGGGTTTTTTTCCTTTTAATAAACAACTCCTTGCTCCAATTTTTTTAAGCAATGTGGGAAAACAAAAAGGAATTGAGATGGGAAAAGGGAAAACTCTTCTCCTGTGTGTCAGCTGAGACATCTGAGATGGCACAGCTCCAACCTTACCCAATTTCCTTGGTGGCACTCCTTGGATGATTGGTAGAAGGAGCAGACAGTGCCCATCTCCTGTGCCAGCAGGGCCATTTCCAGATGTGCCCGCTCCCAGCTGTGCTTCTCCCAGAGGAACCTGCAGCCAGATGTGCACAAACAGCCTGAAAACATCTGCTTTTCCAAAATTACAGCCTGAAAACATCTGCTTTTCCAAAATTACAGCCTGAAAACATCTGCTTTTCCAAAATTATTGCCTCATCCACGCACACCTGGAGATCGGGGTTCTCCCTTGGAGCCATGCACGACCCCCAGAGTTTTTCCCCTGAGGGGAAAACTTGTAAATAATGTGTTTTTCTCACCAAAAATAAGGGAATCCCAGGGGTTTCTCACCTCATCTGCATTTCTTGCTGCATGTGGGTGATCCTTTCTGCAGGTGAGGGGAGCAGGGCAGGGGATGTTGTGGAAGCTGGAGTGGTTTCATGATTTTCTTTGCTTTTTAATGCCTCTGTGTGAGCAGCAGAGGCTTTTAAAGTGCTCCTCGAGGAGTAGCCTGGACAAGGAACAAGAGGGAAACACCTTTTTCTGCAAGAAATTAATTATTTTTCAAACTTTTCCTTGCCTGCCCTCACCAAAGTTAAGGTAAACTGAGTCTTACAGGTGATTTCAGGGCTCATCCCACCCTGGGGCAAGTTTGCAGCAATTTAATTTAATTTGTTCAACAAAATCTGATTTTCAGCTGTCAGATGGAAAATCTTCTGGGTTTAAAGTTGAAATAATGCAAGAATAAAATAAGGGAAGTGGCAGTGCCTTTCTCTTCTCTCTTACCTGGTGATAAATTGTTTTTTCTGTTTTCCTCCAGCACCTGAACCACAGACTGGAGCAGTGGGATCAGTTTTTTTGGGATGAACTCGCTTGGATTACTGGAGATCCCAGTGAGACCATAAAATCTGCTGCTCTGAGGCTTTTCCAAGCTCTGTGGTGACCCTGAGAAAGGCAGCTGGAACAGCACAGAGCAGACAGAGGCTGTTTGTCTGTCAAAAATATCATTTTTATCAAATTAAACCTCCTGGCATTCACTGTCTTTCCTTACTAAATTATATATATTTTATCTATTATATAAAATATATAATATATAATATTATATATATAATTACAATGATAATATTTTTATATATATATAATTATAGACACTTAAATGATAGATTAATAACAGATAATAATAACTCAATAAATGCTACAACAACATAAAAGCCTTTTCCAGTGTTTATTGTCCCTAACTCTCAGATCTTTTCACATCCTCCACCCTGACAGAAATGTTGCAAATTTGAATTTTGACTTATATTTAATGCTTTTCTCGTGTAAATTTTTTGTTATTGCAGGTTTGGGGTGTCACCTCTTGTTTATACACAAATTGTTTTGCAGCCTGTAAAATATTAAATGCCTGCTGTACTAAAAGTAACATTTTATGTGGCTGTGTCTAAAATTTCTAGAAGGGAATTCAATTTGTTAATCCAGGTATAAATTCATATTGTTATTCCACATTTAAATTTATAATTTCATATATAAATTCAAATTGTTACTCCATGTTTAAATTTATAATTCCATGTATAAATTCAGCTTGTTACTCCATGTTTGAATTTAATTTATTCCATTTTTAACTCTTGCAGAGCTGAGCTCTACCTGCTGTTTTGCCACTGTGCTCTCTTCATCCTCCTCCTTTCCTGGGCTGCTCAGAGCCTTTATCCAGAGGTTTTTCAGCGAGGATATTTCACTCATTACCCTGTGATACAGAACTTTTACCTGAGGTCCAAAATAAAAAGCAAATAAATCAAAATGAAGAAATAAATAAAATAAATAAAATAAAAAGCTGAAGGGGATTGGTGAAATTTCCCTTTATGTACTGAACCCCGAGCTGGGTCAGTTTTTTGGGGAATAATGATTTTTATTTATCTGTTAAATGCTTGCTGTGATCCAGCTCCCTCTGCTGTCTTTAAAACCTCACCTGGAGTTACCAGAGTGCCACAGGTGGGGTCAGATTTGGGCTGGGAAATGCTCTCCTATTGATTTAATTAATATATTTACCATAAAATTCAAATTACACGCTCATCTAGTCATTTATTCATCTCTCCTCAGTTTAACATGCAGCTCTCCAGTGTAGAAAATCCATATTTATTTTCATTTTCTAGATGAAAACTTGAAGCTGGAAGCTGAAGTCGCTTTCCAAAAATTATCAGTTCAGAACAGGAAATAATTTTAAGAAAAACAAAATATTTTGCCTTAAGGCCACTGCTCTTCCCACTTTTAGGAAATAATAAAATGAGGACAGATTGATTTATTTCTTGTGCCCTAAAGAGATGAAAGTTGAAATAAAGCATCGACCTCATGGTCAAGGGTTGATGAAACAATGGGAACAGACAAAATTATTCAGGTTTGGGCTTTTCACATGAAAAGCAGCCCCAAATCTTGATTTTTACCTCTTCTTTGAAGTGCCCCAGCGTGGTGGTGACAGACTGGGACTGCCTCAGCAGCAGCTCAAAGAAAACTTTGGTGTTAAAAGAGTCGAGGTCTATTTGTCCTTCAGGCTCCCAGGCATTCCCCCTCCTCAGGAAACAGCCTGGAAAGAGGAATTTTCATTTAGTAATGTTGGGAGGTTATTTATTTTAAAATTTCCTTTTATTTATTCAATTTTCAATTTATTTTTTATTTTCTTTTACTTATCTTTCTAATGAATTTTTCATTTTTTAATTATTTTTCATTTATTTCTTTATTTTCTTTTACTTATTTTTAATTTTTTTTTTATTTCTTCTTTTCTGTTCTTCCTTTTATAAATTTTATCTCTTATTTCATTACTTTTAGGCTGGTTCTGCACACAAATGCTCAACCCAGCAGCCTGAACACAGAATTTGGCTTCCATTCTGTGCAGAACCCCGCTGATTTTTAGTTTTTGGGGGTTTTTTTGTTGCCTGACCTGTGCCAGCAGCGCTGTGGGAGTGCCCAGCCTGGGGCTGCAGAGAGGGGTGAGGCTTTTCCATGGAAAACACAGCTGGAATTTTGGAGGAATATCCCTGCAGGTTGTGCTTGAGCTGCTGCCTGCGGAACCGGGGGCTGGGGCTGCCCCTCCGTGCCCAGCCCTGGCCCCGGCACAGGAGCTGGAAACCACCAAAATTCACCAAAATTCACCAAAATTCACCAAAATTCACCAAAATTCACCAAATAATCCCCTTTTCTTCTTCAATAAACCCATTTTCTTCTTCAATAATTCCCTTTTC